ATTCCACATTATTACAAATAACTTCATTTCTGGACATTTATGGTTTGATTTCTTTGTATGTATGGATCACTTGGGTTGTTACAGACATCTGGTGAAAATTTCATGTCATTAGCACCTCTAGTAATATATTTACTGAGAAAAATGGTGACGTGTTCAACACTTATTTAGGAATGCATGATATAAACGATATACGGTAGAAACAATATAAATTTGTCCTATGATAGAGATCTGTAGTTTACCGGCTAACCGCGCAATTCTTTTTGATGACGTAACGGCTGGAGTCAAAACAGAGGAAGTGGGAAGCAGCATGGCTGACAGTGCAAATGAAGAGGGGGAAAAAACATAACCTATCCGGACCTGGTTCGGGTGTGCGAAAATCAGTGCCGAACTGTTTACATATTTATGTGACGGCGCGTGCTCCGGTCGGATGCCGAATGACCTGCCTGTTGAGGGAGGAGTGCACGCCACGGCACATGGTGACGTAGCGAGGTGACTGTCAGTGCAGATGAAGTAGTGCTCCAGGACTCACAAAAGCTCTCTGAGTCTGGACCTCGTTTCTCCTGTGGTCATAGCGCGATGACGCACGGCCGAATGCGAACGCACTCCGCGCACGTTCCAAAGCGCGACTATAAAACTCAGCCTTTACTGTCTCCTTGTACAGCGTAGAAGCGCTGTGGGAAAGGGTGACAGTCAGACTGTCTTTCCAAAATAAAAAAGTAAAGCATAAACATAGTGATTGTCACCCCGCCGGAGTGCGCACAGATTAAACACGTGGAGTGCAGAAAAAATAATCTGCAAAGTGTGTAGAAAGGAATAAATAAAAGCAATTTGTTTTACCACCTTAAAATGAAGCAGGTGATTCCAAACACAACATCCAATGGATGCAGATACTGTATCTACATTAAAGTTATTGTGTGTGTGTGTGATTTTATATATATATATTTTTTTCTTTTGATTTAACCAGGTAGATCTCCCTTAAAGTTGGATTTTTATGGGAGACTTTAAAGTGTCCCTTAAAAAAGGAGATTTTAAGGTCTAAATTTTTTTACCTATACATATTTATTCCACTCAATTAATGTGYGATTTATTTATTTTCTATTATAAGTTTTATATTGTGATATATATCGTTACCGCCACCCATCATAATGTACATCGTGATATGAATTTTTTGCCATATCGCACATTCCTACGCTGTATATATAGTGATAGCGTCAGTGCTAGCACAAAGGCTAACAGGCTAAGCTGAGGTTCTTCTTCCATGAAGCAGCTCTGTTGTCCTCCATCCATATTTTCAGTTMCAGGCTGAGTCATTTCTACCTTCTCCTCTCTGTCAACSCTCTCTGGTTTCATTTAAAAGAGTCGATCATCAGATATTGTCCAAGATTAACCTTCAGGGTGGATATAGCTCGCTAGCAGCCTCGCACCGAGGTGCTATCCAGGTCATCATTTACCATCATTTAGAATGCTTTGTGTGTAAATAAAATGGCCCCGTCCATGCAATATATTTTTAAACTTTTAGTTTAAAAATGATAAAGACTAAACAGCCTACAGTATTTTTACAGTCTTTATTTTATAGTTAAATGTTTATTAAATAAAGTCTGATGTTACAACTAATCACGGATCCCTTTAAAGGTTACAGCTCTCTGTGGTGGCCATCTTCAGTCAGGCACATGTGAAAACATCACTGTCTGATCGATAATCATTTATATGATCTTCACCTTCGTGATGTCTCCCTGAATCTGAGTGACTCCTGGCAGAGGAGCCATGGCCTGCAGGTCCACCGCCACAATCTTCACCTCCTCACCCATCTCCTCTCGCCCCCTGAGGAGAACAAAAAAAAAAAAACCTGAGTGTTTAAATGTAGTAACTTCAATTAATGCTGGATGTCAAACTGTTTACAGCGGGGCTTTCTGAATGAAGATGTCACGTGCAGAGGGAGGAGGGAGACCTGAGTTTTCGGCTGAGGACTTGACTCCAGCTGCCTGGTGCTGCACAGAGATCCACCACTCTGTTCACCCCTGAGAGAGCAAAGAACCCAAAATAAGTGACATATTTAACAGTGGTGGAGCATTGCTAGGGTTTTATGAAGGAGGTCTAACGATACTCCACTTCCTGTTTTAAAGAGAATATTTTCAGCTACAATAGAAGTGAATCTGTAGAAGCTTGGCTGTGAATCTATGAATTCTGGGTGGGGGGCTTCAGAGAAAACCACAGGTCCTGAAACCGTGGGAGACACACTGGGTGGAAAAAACAAAACTAAATTACATTATGATTTGATGTATAATTTGTAAATGTTCTGCAATGGAAAGATTTTTAATCTGTTTTTTCTTATTTATACTAGTATATGTTACTAGGTTATTCAACTGACCCAATGACATCAGCTTTACTGTTTTACTGTGTTTTTTATTATTATGAACAGATAGGGATGTTTTATGACCAAGACAAGATCTGCTGGGAGTACTCACTCTTGTTAGTGTAATTTATTGCTACTGTTTTAGGTGCCTGGGAGTGACATCTTAATCTGATCCGTATGTTGAAACTGTATACTGACAGCCATTAGAACTACATGTTAGCACAGATTCTGGCACAGACAGCCTGATGGCTCTGTATTAACCTCTGTGTTCTTGTTTGTTGCAATGAACAAACTCATTTGACCATTCTACAAAGTGACTTTATTCTCTGAATATCCGACCTTGTTGAATAAATATTTCCACAACAACTTGGCATCACAAGACAGGATCCACTCCGAACAGGCCGAGACCACATCGGTTGATCCCCAACATCAGAAGATCTCTCTCCTCCAACAGCTTTTAAATGAGTGAGGACCGATGACCTGAGCTCAGACCGTGACTCCACGCTGGTTCAAATAACAACTCTCTTTTAAAAAGGAGCTTTAGGAGTATAGAGGGGTTTGTTCGCAAAAGATCTGAACAATTCAGAAGTTATATTGTGTGAAAGCATCAAATGTCCGCTGAACATAAAACTCAAACTGTGTTTGTTTAAACAGGGTTGAGTTTCACTAAAATACCATTAACTCCCATTCCTTTTTTCAATATCAGCTTTTGTCTTTGCAAATATTGGGCCTCATGCAAGAACCGTTCATACGCACAGATTTGTTCTTAAGTTGTGCGTACGAGTGATTTAGGAGAATTTGTGGCATTCACCAATGTTTTCATATTCTAAGATTTTTTTTCAGATGCGAACAAAATTCACGAGTGGTCCAGACCTGTCGTATATTTTACGAGCAGTCAGTCTGCTGTTATCCAGACGGGTTTTCTTCACTAATAACTTTATATTTCATTAGTTTGAAGATATTTTGAGTACGGTGTGTCTTCTGAATAAATGAAAATGATTTAACACAGTTGTTTATACTTTTAGCAGCTCTTTTTATCCCACAGC